AAATATCAATAAATTATGTCTAAGAAATCATTGTAATGCCAGAAACGGTACATCCAAACATTATAACATAACTAAGAAATCATTGTAATGCCAGAAACGGTACATCCAAACATTATAACATAACTAAGAAATCATTGTAATGCCAGAAACGGTACATCCAAACATTATAACATAACTAAGAAATCATTGTAACGCCAGAAACGGTACATCCAAACATTATAACATAACCATCTGATTAAAGGTTTGATCGTAACTCGAGGATTACGTGCGCAAGCCTTTCTTAATTTAGAAGTTGTAGACTAGAGGAAAATGAACACTACCAACCGCCAACTCTTGGGCTACTCTTTACCAACGAATAGTGGGATTGGTTGGGATGTTATAACGCCTTTATGATTGAAAGAGCGAATTTGTTCGGTGATCAGATTCGAACCCGCGACCTGCAGATTGCGAGTCGAGCGCTATAACCACCAGTTACCCTTGAAACAAGGATAACAAACAAACTATAAGCCTTAGTACTTATAAGACGATTAAACGCTCTTTTTGTCTTCTCTCCGAAAAATAAATTCTGGATCGTAAAATAAAATGTCGTTTTGTGCACACAAATGTTACTGAAACAAACTGAATTCTTGCATATGATTAAAAAAAAAACTTTTATCTAGGTATTTTCTTCTAAAAGTTGTTGACCTTGAAATATTAGGTAAATATTGAGTTTAAAGAAGCATTATATAACCAGCAAGGATATATAAATATAGGTCGTTATGTTTGTTGACAAAGAAACAAAGTAAAAACTTGGCTCACCTAACATCTTCACAACAGCTCTGCGAGATGACTGACCAGAACGTTTTACAGATTGTCTCAAGTTGGACTTCACACCGTTCGTGCTATTGGGGGCGGCCTCGTTACGGTCTAGTCCCGTGGATCTTCTTAGTTTTATCCCAATAAGTATGTACAAGACGGTGATCAGGGTCATGGGAAGGATGAAGAAGAGAAACGTAGAGGTCTCGAAGGCGTGACTCAGAGGCATCTTCAGAGTACAAAATACGTGAACAATACCAAACTGGATTGCCAAAGGAACAGCGCACAGTGCACTGGCTACCCAAATAGCCACAATGACCATTATAGCCCTCGATAACTTTGACATCGTGTGGGCCCGGAGTGGATGGCAGATGGCCAAATATCGCTCCACCGTGAAAGCAGTGATGGTCAGGATAGACGCGTTGGTAGAAGTCTCCGATGTCAAACCTCTAAACACGCAGAAGAATTCTCCGAAAATATATGGGTAACGTTGCCACAGTTGGAACATTTCTTGGGGAAGACCCAGGAGAAGCAGCAGAATGTCAGAAACTGCGAGGCTGAAGAGGTAATAGTTAGTGGCTGTGTGCATGTACTTGTTTCTAGCGATGACCACACAGGTACAGATATTGCCCACTACGCCACTGACCAGAATGACCGTGTAGATTAGGGTCATAGGAATCGCCGTGGATAGGGGGTCTCTTTTTGGGCCAAAGTTGATATCGCTTTCATTGCCCGTATTGCGCACAGCTGGAATGAAAGTTGACAGAATTGAGTCAGTTAGAGGAATAGAAGAAACTGTCCCTTCTGTGGTAAACGAGATAATGACTGACATTTTGAAAAAATAAAATAAATACTGGTCGGTGTTATATGGGTAAGTTAGTTACTTGAAAAAGAGCAGATTTTAGAATTAAACACCGAATACATTCCTCAAGTCTCGAACTAGAAATCAGGGAGAAGTAATAAACGGGTGATAACGATATTTATTCCAGAGCTACTGGGACTGATGATGGACGATAAGCTTCGAACGGCGGTTCACGTGTGCTTCCCTACACCCACTGTCACTCTATCGCCTACTCTGGCTTTTAATAAGATTTTTGCTTGGTGATGACGTGTAAGTACGTCAGGAAGCACGTGACGTCTGTCCTAGCGCTTGTTGTGCTGAGATTGAAGCAAAATACACGAAGAGAGGCGGCGCAGATGAAATAAATGTCCAGTATTTATTGTTTATTTGCCCTTTTCAAAGCAACTTACTGAATACTTCGAACAAACTCCGCGAATAAAAAGCGATTTATTGGAACTCGAGAACTGTTTAGAATATTAAAATTCAACTTAAACTATTGGCTAATCTCCTATTTTTTATACATCTGACAAGTAATAGTAATGAATTTTACAGGAGTAATATATTATAGTCGAATACAAACTTGTAAAGAAGAAGAAGGAACCAAGGAAGGTTTCATCTATAACCACTTTATCTAAAGAAAAACGTTCGTCTATTAATGTACAAAATCTGATCGCATTTCATTGTTTGATTTATACTAGAACAGATCAGATATTAAAGAATCGGGAGAGATAGACGTAATCAGCTAAACAAATTATGTTATTGTCACTGTGTGATGATATGTTAGAGACCCGTGTTTTGGTTGTGGTGATGTACATGATGAAATGTTAGAGACCGGTGTTTTGGTTGTGGTGATGTACATGATTAAATGTTAGAGACCCGTGTTTTGGTTGTGTTGATGTACATGATGATATGTTAGAGACCCGTGTTTTGGTTGTGTTGATGTACATGATGAAATGTTAGAGACCCGTGTTTTGGTTGTGTTGGATGTACATGATGAAATGTTAGAGACCCGTGTTTTGGTTGTGGTGATGAACATGATGAAATGTTAGAGACCCGTGTTTTGGTTGTGTTGATGTACATGATGAAATGTTAGAGACCCGTGTTTTGGTTGTGGTAATGTAGATGGTGCAATGTTAGAGACCCGTGTTTTGGTTGTGGTAATGTGTACGATGAAATGCTAGAGACCCGTGTTTTGGTTGTGGTAACGTGTACGATGAAATGTTAGGGACATAATTTGTTTTAGTTGTGGTAATGTAGATGGTGCAATGTTAGAGACCCGTTGTTTTGGTTGTGGTAATGTGTACGATGAAATGCTAGAGACCCGTGTTTTGGTTGTGGTAACGTGTACGATGAAATGTTAGGGACATAATTTGTTTTAGTTGTGGTGATGTACATGATTAAATGTTAGGGACCCGTGTTTTGGTTGTGGTGATGTACATGATTAAATATTAGAGACCCGTGTTTTGGTTGTGGTAATGTGTACGATGAAATGTTAGGGACATAATTTGTTTTAGTTGTGGTAATGTAGATGGTGCAATGTTTTGGGTCGTGTTTTGTTCTATTAAATACATTTGCCAATATAATAAAAGCAGTTCAATAAAAAATCTACATAAAACAGATTACATCAGACACAGATGGTGTTCGCTTCCTACCACCCCCACTTGAGTTGTAACCCCCTATATGGGAACAGGTGGTGTGTAAGTACGTCATCAGAAATTTCAGAAAATAAAACCTGTAACAGATGCCTTTAAAAGTTCGATCCCTGACTGCCGTTTCTCTCAGGGCAAATTTGTTGAGTGGGCGCACGTACCGATTTTTTTATACGTTTTTAAACCTTTAACGTTTGGTAACTTAATGGAAAGCTTTAGTAGTCTTGATGTGAGAATCTGATAAATATCACGAGTAAGACAAATTAAGAAATTAGGATCTTTCGAGTAAACAAGTCTACATTTGATAGAGAATATATAAAGAAATTGAAGTAAGTTATTTTACTACTATTAATGTTCTATTCCTATGTTTTATGGATTATTTGGTACACGCAGTCTTCATTAAGCCTTACTGAAAGGTACAGCATTAAAGTTTAGCTGTAAGAAAACCTGTTTACGAAAACTCAACTTACAGAAAAAAGAACAGTATTATAACGAAATAAATAAAACAATTACATGCATGTACTCTAATGTTACGTTTTACTAACTCGTATAAACAGAAATAAGAAAGTTTTATCGTTTCTTATACAAGCTTATTACCGTATTCTTCAACACAGGAGAGTTGTAACACCGTTGTACACAGGAGAGTTGTAATAGTCTAATCTTCGTAACCTTTACAGTTTTGTAACACCATTGTACACAGGAGAGTTGTAACAGTCTAATCTTCGTAACCTTTACAGTTTTGTAACACCGTTGTACACAGGAGAGTTGTAACAGTCTAATCTACGTAACCTTTACGGTTTTGTAACACCGTTGTACGCAGGAGAGTTGTAACAGTCTAATCTACGTAACCTTTACGGTTTTGTAACACCGTTGTACACAGGAGAGTTGTAATCATGATGAATGGTACTTTAGTCTTATTGTCATGATGAATGGTACTTTAGTCTTATTGTTACCATGAATGGTACTTTAGTCTTATTGTTGCCATGAATGGTACTTTAGTCTTATTGTTACCATGAATGGTACTTTAGTCTTATTGTGATACAACGAAAACCAACTGTATCTTACAACGACAATTCGCGATAGCTAGGTTACAGCAAGGTAAAACTAAACTGTTACAAGTCTCCTGTGTACAACGGTGTTACAAAACCGTAAAGGTTACGTAGATTAGACTGTTACAACTCTCCTGTGTACAACGGTGTTACAAAACCGTAAAGGTTACGTAGATTAGACTGCAATAAGACCAATGTACCAACACCATTCACCATCTGTTCGTCTTGACAGAAAGAAACACGTAACATAGGAGAGAATGTAGTAATGTAGGGACATAGGAGAGAATGTAGTAATGTAGGGACATAGGAGAGAATGTAGTAATGTAGGGACATAGGAGAGAAAAGAGAATGTAAAGAGAGAAATACATCAGAACAAACTTATTATTATTTAGTGTTCAGAGCATTAATTATTTGTCTTCAGATCTTCAGTCCAGCAAGCTAACCTTTAGACGCTGTCCCTAAAAGGTTCACTAAGCACGTGTTCCAGCAAGCTAACCTTTAGACGCTGTCCCTAAAAGGTTCACTAAGCACGTGTCACGTAAAGGCTCACTCTCTTAACTTGACAACACAAGTTCTTAAAATCTAAACTGTTGGACATGAAAGCATCATCTTTGTATAGCCTTTACGGTATCCATCAAAGACGTTTTAATTTGTCTGGTGTCAACAATTTAAAAAACTGATCATTTAGGACTACAAAACAAATCGTGTTGTTACTGTAACTTGCGAACGTGTACGTTTTAAAATTATACAATTCGATTTGAAAGTTTTCACGTAATGGAGAATTATAATGGACGTTGGTTTGACAACGGTATTTAACGAACGGAATGTAGATTATTTCACACACAACTGTCTGGTTTGACAACGGTATTTAACGAAAATAATCTACATTCCGAAACCAACGTCCATTTAACACAGACAGTTGTGTGTGTGGGGACAACGGTATTTAACGAACCGGAATGTAGTGAAACATAGAAGACGTATCTAGGCCCCCCGGGGTGTTGGTTTAGAGTAGGGTTGTTTTGTTCAATTAATATGGATTCCTTGATTACCCAGATCGAAACACAAGCCATACATTCTGCGCTTCATCCCCCCACTATACTGGTACAGATATGTCGATGACACTTTTGCTGGTTTCAACTCTACAGAACACACACTAACTTTCTTTAAACACATAAATTCCATTCACCCCAACATCAAATTTACCATAGAACACGAAAACAATAAACAGTTATCTTTTCTTAACCTCAAAATTATTAGATCGGACACACAGTTTAAAACCAAAATTCACCGTAAGAACACACACACTGGTCTCTACATCCCCTGGAATTCCGCTCATGACACCACACAAAAAATCAATACACTTAAAAACCTCTTAAACACAGCCACAAGACTCTGTTCAACAGACTACATAAATGAAGAAATTAACCACTTAAAGCACTCATTTATTCACACCAATAAATTCCCACCAGCTATAGTTGAAAACTCTCCAACATTCCCCACAATAAAACTCAGCTCACGAACAGAATTGACACTAACAAATCCAACAACAGCACATTACACTGCAGTTTACCTTTAGTTCCCAAAACCGGCTCAAGAATTATCCACACTGGGACTAAACTAGCCAGTAAACACAATATTCCTGTCAACGTCAAATTTTCACAAAAACCCGGCCCTA